AAATCATATATCTCAAGATCTTTGTGGGCGATGCCTGTGGATGTTATCTGAAAGAAAATTCCATTGAAAATTGGTGTCTTCTGCACATTTTTAAGAAAATACGGGAAAATGCACATGTTTATGACTTCATAATTAGCATTTAAAAACACATGTGAGAAAATGACTTGTATGATTTTTCTGCATTGAATTTCAATTATTTAAAAAGCATGACTTTTCAAATTTTACACCAGTTTCATTTTTCAGAAAATCATAGGGCAAAATTTGTATGGAAACCATACCTTCTTCTTTGTTAATTTTTAAATTTTTTAAAAATAAAATTTGAAAAAAAATGGATCAAATTAAAGTTTTGTAATTGAATTGAATTTCTAATAAAGAAATTGATTTAACATAGTTAAACCTTTTGCACTTTGATTTATTATACATTAGGCTTTGCCTTGATTCATTTAATTCAGTTATCATACATCTACACAATAAATAAGACATGCGGGTTTTGAAAACAAATTGGCACATTTTATATTTATCTGTTTCCTAAAACTAGCTTTCAACTGTTAATATACATTAGTCCTTGTTGCATGACAAATATAATAGAAAATATAGTTTAAAAAAATGAAGAAATGAATACGAAAAATGAGTTAGAATGTAATATGATTGATCATACTGATAAAGAGATAAATTTGACACTTTGATTTACTAAAACAATCACTGTGATACACATATTATACACGTATATTGATAAGATTAAAAACTTTGATTTACTAAAGAGATAACATTTAACTACTTTCGTTATTTAAGCATAATTGACAGCTAACCAAGGTTTGTTAGAGTACAAGGTACATTTACCGGTATGTTTTAATGTTACTTCAAAAGTTATCAAGAATATTTCTTTCTTATTGTATAGTGCATGGTTTATATTATCTATTTTATAGTATCCAGAACATGCACATTTATAAAGACTATTCAGAGCGAAGATTTGGAGAGACAAGCAAAATCTATCATTTCCAATTTTCAACGCAAACATTATTTGTTTAATGTTTATTATTATACTTCTGTTAAAATGGTTCCTATATAAAGTTTAGAAGGTAAAATAGCTATCTTTAATAGTTCACGCATAGCAAAGCTGTACCCCGGGGTATAGTTTTTGCTATCCAAAGCGGAAAATTTTCATGCAATTTATGCCTCCAATTTTGATTTCCAAAAAAATTGATTTTTGACTGACGATGTCATTTGACTTCAATAATTGCGACGTCATCAGGTTTTCAGATTATTCTTACAGCATTATCTTACTACTAAAAAATTCAAACCTCAGAAATTATATTATACATCAGTATAATAAAACGCTTATCCACTGGGTTTAAAATGTGGGATAGCTCATCATCAAACCCTTTAATAACTATTCCCCTCGGGTAAGCCGTATAAATACTTTTCATTGTCGCGGGTTTGATAACAAGCTATCCCACTCACACCCAGTGGATAACTGTATACTAGATATTGCATTCAAATTCGACCAAAGTATAGAATTTTAATAGTTGAAAAATCATTAAAAGTCATTAAGAATGATCTACCCGAAGTGCTATTGAACATGGCAAAATTGACATCTTTTCTCTGGATTGCAGGCATGAAAAGCAAGGCATATGCATGTTGCACATGCTGTCTCATTAAATATCACATGAAATACAATAATTATTGAATATTAAAAAGTTATTAAATTCTAGTCTTAAATGCTATAATCAAGCGCGCACAAATTATTTATAATCTTTGAATGTTTTATAGACTCATTTGTAGTATATATGGTATTTTAAAAAAAATATTGTAATAAAGTCAACTGTTATAATATTTATGTCTACAAGTTTATAAAGAGAATTTGGCCTGAACATGTACAGTCATAATTAATTTTTTCTGGTTTTTCCAAAATATCTCAAATTACACGATAGAGGTATGGGATTACTTTTTTTATTATTGTAACAATACACCACCCACGGAATGTTATTTATTATGTAATAGTTCCCGCTCTACCACATCATATTAAATTCGACAGACAAACAAAACACCCTTGAGGTAACTGTAAAACCCCAGCAGGCATTTGATCTGAAGAATTCAAAGAAAAGACAGCTACACCCCTGATCAATACGGGGAAAAATTAACTATGGGACGCTTATACCAGAAACCACAATTTTTTCTTGAGATTTCTTAACGATTCTATGAGTCTTTGATATCTCCTTAAAAGTATTTGACATAAAAAAATCTTTTTTTTATTCTATTTAGAAATCATTTACGATGTAGTTGACTTTATCTTATCCACACGCTAAAGGTGAGTCTCTTTTCTTTCAATGCATTTACTGAAGATATTTGGTCCACATACTTATGTTTTATACAAAGTAAATATGAATTATGAATATTAAAAATTTGACATGCTACGACTTGAAATACCCCCAGTTAACGCGTGTCTCCTACTAAGTCTTTTTGCAAAGCAGGGTAAATTTTGAGGTCAGTGGAAGCTTGTCTTAAGATTTCACAGAATTAATTTTTGGGTGATGTTTTGATTTTAAAACGACTAGGATAAAAGTAGTGGATGAAATATTTTTATATTCCGTAATTAAAAAATAGTTTTTCTGAGATATCCGAGTTCTGCCTTCCTTAATATCTTGATGAATTATAAAGCCAAGACTAACATACTGTAATTTAAAATGTGGGATATCTCCATCATCAACCCCTTTAATAACACGCATTGAATACAAATACTTTTCATTATAGCGATGTTTTATAACAATTATGAATAAAAAACCGTTTGAAGTGTCAGAGATGGAGAAAATACAATAAAAAATCCACATGATAGTCTAATAATTCTGATCAGCGTTTGGATTACTTTTAACAATTTCCGACCCATCGATTCGCTTTAATTGTCCTCCCATTCGATACGCCACAGAGTTATAGCGCACCAAAAATTGTCTTTCTTTAATCTAAATGAGGTCTTGGTTTTTTTAGTAGATGAAACAAGTGAATCTCAATTCATATTATTTATTCATAAAATGTAAATTTTGCATCTGTTTGCATTGTTCAAAGGCTTCTGGTTCAGAAATGAGACAGATTATCACGGGCCACACAGAAAAATAATCAAAACATTGATTCTATCATTGTTTTGGATGGTTAAATATTAATGCTTTTGATCTGTATTGGATTAATATACACACATTTCACGCCCTTATCACTTTTTTCTTTTTTGCTGCAGTATACGTTAATCACACGCTTATCTGTTTTGTTCCTTTATGCAATTAACCAAAGAATGGTTATTATTTATGTTGATTTTACTATAAAAATTGACTCATTTAATATGACAAATGTTGCCAAGATATTTAATTTGTTATCAAAGTTTACCACAATAAAATGTTAAAAAAAATAATTAACCCCAAATCCATCTTAAAAAAATCTATGAAGAAAAGGGCATAAAATACAGACCCCTGTAAATTTCAGAGGTGGGATCAGGTGCCCAGGAGGAGTAAGCATCTGCATTTACTGGACACGTCTATAGTGAGCCCTATGTTCTACAGAATATTCCTCATCAAATTCATTATAGAACATTAAGACCCAAAAATTAACACGGAAGAAGTTTGCCAAAATAAGACCCATTTTTAGATTGTCTTTGCTCTCAAGGTCATTATAAAGACTACAAAATTTAACAAAAGGAAAATTTAAATGAAGTTTTTGAAATCCCTGTAACGTAAATCTTTCTGTTAGTAGCATTTCTCGGATAAAAATGGATCATACTCGGAGCATACTCTTGAGTATCAAATGAGTCGGGTGGTGTAATCACAAGGCCTGGGGGCCCTAAAACTTAGACGAACTCACTTTTGATCTAAGTCTCAGTTTTCATCTATATATTCCTTTGGTAAAAGTGAGACTGATATCACGTTTGATCTCAGTCTCAATTTTCATCTATATATTCCTTTGGTAAAAGTGAGACTGAGATCAAAAGTGAGCTCGTCTAAGTTTAATGGCACCAGGCCAGATACAGGTGATAGCGGGATATTACTATATAAAAAGGGAAAGTTGACGATAGAAAAGTTAAAGTCAACTCGTTTTCCATACAATGTAGTACATTTAGTTAATTGGCTGTTAGTCAACTTAAGGCAGTAAAATAATCAAATATGAAACAGATGTGCCCTTTATTTCAAATGCAACGGGATATTTTAAATCAACATTATGAATAGAAGTAACTATAATTATTGTTAATTGATAAAACATCGACGTTATATCTAAATGTCGAGATAAAGTTCACAGCAAGCGTCTTTTTTTCTTATGTAAAAGATTGTAAATAAATTCTTCCTCACGGGAATATGTAAAATTTAAAAGAACAGGTCACCTTATAAAGGAGCAGATTTAGTGTCCACAGAATCATAGAATTCTAAAAAGTTTGTTGGAAAGACCTTGTACCTTAAGAGTACATTGATGTTGTCAATGAGGAACTACGGCATCCTTCTAATATCAACTTTACAGTACTTTTATATAGAAACTAAGTGAATTTTGATAAAGTTATTTGGTGATGACCAATCAGAAGAAAGATAATTTTCGGACTTACTATTTTAGTTGAGAAGCTGATTAAAATATCCAGAAACCTGGTTTTTGATTAATTATGAGGAATGATTTTTAAAGTGTAGAAAAGTCATACGTTTTGATTTAAGTTACTCAATGAAATATTAAGCAAGCTTGATTGAATATATTATTTTACTGCAAATACTATAAAAGCTTGTTTATTCTTATGAATGTACATGCGTAAATGCAGCTAATACTGTAAAAGCACCTAACTATATAGCAAATACTGTAAAAAGGTCGTTTTTTGCCATGAGCATATATTAAATAGCACTAAGTTTTGTAAGATAATTTTATAATTATTTATAGGCAGCTAATTCTGTAAAATATTGTAAATCCACGTACGAAAGTATCATAAAAGCGTAAAAGTTTTATTTGTTACTATTTACAAAAACACAAGTACAGCGGATATCCGAGGAGAGCAGAATAATGTACTTATTTCCGTAATTCTGAGGATCGGGTGAACATTTTATCATTTGTATCATATAGTAACAAAATACGACTAACATATAATTACTGCACGAATATACCAGAAGAGTTTCACAGTAAGAATGTTTTATTGTCTTTTGGCAAGGTTTTCAATATTCACTTTGTGAATAAAAGTTGAATTCTTCTTAATAATGGTTTATCATTGAATAAAAAATTTCAAATAAAATAGAACAAAACTTGAGTGAAATTTTCAATTTTCTTCAATAAGTATTGCAAATATACAACCTTATTTATTTTTTTTAATATAATCATCATCATATACATGTAATACAGAAAAGTTTCAAGTCACGTATCGCCTCATTATAAAGACATCATAGATAAACAAACTCATTATCATACATGATATTATGAAACAGACCACAATAACAAGTCCGTGATTCACGATTCTGCAATTTTTTCTTATTTTCTCCACAGAAACGTGGACATACACGGGATCATTGTGATCTGCGTCATTAAGGAACGATAATTAATTAAAATGCTGATGCAGCACAATGTGGTTTTTCCACCCTATATTTTCACTCTTTAATTAAAAATACCTGCTTACAAACCAATTAAAACGCTAATTATGGAAAAAATATCCAAATATATTTGATCCAAAAATTATTTAAAATTTACATCGATTTTTGGATTCAATTTCGCTACAAAGCTAACATTGCTGGGCTCAGGTCCAAATTGACAACACTTAGGAGCCTGCATGAAGTTGCTTCGGTTTCCGAGTCTTATGATGAACTTCCTTGTCAACCTTTGCAAAACAAAAAAAAGTTTCTGATCACCTTGCAGGGTACCATTAATGTTGAAATACCCTTTGTATCTCGTGTTCAGAACTATTTACACTCCCAACTAACCTTCACTGCTAATAATAAAAAGAATACAAAAGATATTGCATATTAACAGTGTTGTGACAATTTATAATCTATTCAAATACTAATATACTACGACTATTGGGAATGTTGACATATTCCATGTAGGAGGATTTTACTTATTTTCAGCTCCCATTCTGTTTGATTCACCCCTCCACGCTTTATCAACATGAAGGCGACTTTTAAAAAACTAAATACAAAATGAAATACAAACATTTCGAAAACTTTGTCCTCATACTATTCAAAAGGGAGTTCTGCGGCCCCATTTATGCTCAAAATGTATTACTAAATCTGGAATTCTCAGAAATAGTTAAGTATCTCACCTTTATCCTTGTAACTCTATTTAAAATAATATAGTAACGAGGTCTTTTTAAAAACATTGTATGAATTGACGCTTTTTATTCCGTGTATAGAGGCTAACTTAAGCATATTGTTCAATTTAACATTGCAACTTTACGTCGCTATAAACTTGATACATTCGTGTAGTCCTAAAAAAATCAGGTTACGTAATTAGTTTTCTCGTTCAGAAATTTTTTTGTACCTGAAACAAGTCTGGCTTTGAGTTACGTGATTTCCTATATAAATTAGATCAGCGGTGTTAACAAACATGTTTACAACGTTCTGACATTTTGCGCAAGTAATTGTAGTAAAGAAACGAAATATAAGCAGATGTTAATATTTGTACATGTGTATTGTGTTTCTTTTTAACCAGTTTAATACTATAACATATATTATAAGTCTGTTGTTATTTTTCTGTGCCATCGTAATTGTCAGTTCTCAGAAACTACTAGTATCTATCTGCTTTTCCGCAGGCCTTGTAGAATGAATACTTTGGGGTTAAGTCTTAACATAACCTTTTGTAATATACATATCAATTCTTGAAGTTGAAAAATTACTCGCTTTTTATAAGTAATTTCCTCTTTCTTTGCTCTACTCACGGCAAAATTCCTAAATAACTTTTGATCCTCCTCTGCGTGGCAATGGCTGAAAAGAAGAAATAAATATTTCTAATGTAAAGAAATTCATTGCTTGCATCAGAATTATTGATGGAAATGTTATATACATATTTTCTGTAATTATGAAATAACTTGAACAATCAATAAACCTTAATTATAAGAATAAATGATAATAAAATCTGGTGACTGTAAACAAACCATGAGCAAAACATATAATAGTATTCTACAGGAAACCGCTGTTGATCAGAACTCTTTGCCTGTAACCAATTCCTACGGATAAAAAAAGACCATGAATGAGTTTTTGTTAAAATTGTTTGAATAAGTTCGTTTAATTAATAATTAAAATATTGTATGAACTGAGAACTTATGAAGAAAATGTCATAAACCTTTGTTTTGTTTCAAGAAAGCTGTCGAAAGGAAACGGAGTGTTAGAAAATGCGTGTAAAAGCCCTAATACATTTAATGAAATAAATTACTTGCACTAAAAAAATAAATGAAATAAAAGGAAAAACTTTGACTTTCTTTGCTTATTTCTACCTTATCATTTATATTATAGAAAAAGAAAATCTATCTGCAGATTTTGTATGAATTTCCGAGATAAACGTTATCTTGCTCTGATGAATGATATCACCATAAAAGGAAGAAGTAAGAAAACAACAGTAATGACTAAATTAAATAAAAAAAATAAATAATGTGTTATTTAGATAATGCACCTATATATCATAGAGATATATTTATACCTTTTCTGTTGATGTTAGAGCAGTACTTTGAATACTTACAACTAATTTAATAAATAATTTAATAAACTTATCAATTTATTTTACTTGTAAAATAAATTGAATATTACTTCTTGTGTACAAACTTAAATAAAACACCTTGTTATTATCAGAGATATATCGACAATGTTTTATAAATCGAGAATGTATTTACAGTTATTTCATTTATATGTCAACTCAGTTCATCCCATATCCCATATATGAACTGAGACTAAAGGACTTCGCAGAGTCTGGCACATCTGTTTCATATTTGGATGTTGTATTGACTTTAAGGACGATAATTAACAACTAACAACTAAACTGATGAAACACGAGATGACTTCAGCTTTAACATCATCAAGTCTCCTTATTTTTAAAAGTAGCAAAATTCTATTATCACCTGCTTCTAATGTTAATGTTTCCCAACTTTTTCGCTACTCTATAGAGATTGCTCTGAGTATGTTTAAAAGTTAAAAGCAATGCATTAATAAGTTTATGTTTAAAGATAGCAATTCTATATCGCCGTTATAATGACCTTGTTAGCAAATACAACCTATCTTTAGGTCGTGTTATGGCTAACTTGTTTCATACCAATTGTGAGTCCTATGTTTTTACATACTAGATTTGACTAGGGCATGTATCGTTGATCAAAGCATAAGGCTCACGGCGGGTGTGACCGGTCAACAGGGGATGCTTTCTTCTTCTATGCATCTGATCTCACCTTTGAAAAATCCAGGAGTGTTGATGCCCTCTTCATAGATTTGTATTGTTTATAGAATTCTTTTGACGTAGTACACTCTTTGTTATCTTTACTTTTTACAAACTGTAAAATCAAGTTGAAATACATGTGATTAAAAAAAAAATCATCTTCATATTAAACAACTTATGAGAAAATTACAAAGAAATTCAAAAAAGCTAATATTTTCTTACAGCTTATAGATTTTTGGCAATATACGTAAATATGAGATACATCATAATGCAAAATATTTGAAATTTATTAAGTAATACTTTGAGTATATTTAATTTAGTGATTCAGAGATTGTTCAAAGAACATCTACATGTGTATCTACATTTAAGCGTGGCTTTAAAAAGGCCTCAGTTGATTGTCAAATTGATTTCAAATAATTAAATAAACTGATTACATGCAAATAACAGTCGTTGTGTGTTAAAACCAAATGTAATTTTGGAGACAGACAGATCATTGTCAGTTTACTTGTAAATAAGTGTTGAAATGAACTCCCTTGTTAATTTCCTTACACTACTGCTGATGATGTAAGCATGATATTTAACAGTAAACAGGATGGGTTAATTGTATGAGTTGTGATGTATAGTAACTTGTCAAAAACAAAACTATAGGAGCAGAGATAAATTTCCACCACCCACTTAATTATCTGTTATTGAAATTTAACAATTAAAGTACATAGTAAAATCGGGGATGAAATTAAATGACTGATTCAATCAGCAATGGTATTTTTTTAAATAAAAAAAAACAAAACAACAACATAAAACTTAACACTAATCATCCACCGAAGCAGAGTGATCTACCCCCGATGTAAATGAGAAAAAATTGGAAAACGTTGAAAAAAATTTAATTCAAATTAAACTACTTTAAAATAAGTTAATTGCTATTAAATTAACCTTTCAGAAAAGTTAATCCCCCACAAGAAAACGTGATTCTTATGGTGGGTTGTTTTAGGCTTGTTATTTCACAGTTTGTTCAAGTATAGGAATTCACTCTTCAATGGTGTTGTTTTATTCAAATTGAATAGTGTTGTTTACGATAAATTTTTGTGGATGCTTTGTTTTAGTCTGTGTCACTCGGACTGATGCTTAAAGAAGTCTCATCCATTATTTTAATGATAGAAAGAGATTATACGCTTATAGTCTGGATTAAGAAAAGATGTACATATTTATCATCCAAAATCACCCATTATATTTTTATGCCCCCGTAAACGAAGTTTCGGGGGTATATAGTTTTTGTCGTGTCCGTCCGTCTCTCTGTCTGTCTCTCTGTCTCTCTGTTTGTCCGCAAAAACTTTAACCTTGCCCATAACTTTTGATTTAGTTGAGCTATGACTTTCATATTTCATATGTGTATTCCTTGTGATAAGACCTTTCTTTGGGTACCACCAAATTTGACCTTTTGACCTTGACCTTGGAGTTTGACCCACTTTTACATGAAAATTTACTTTTGCCATTTCTTTTGAACAGTAGACACCAGAACATTTATACTTCACATATGTAATGTTTGTTAAAAGATCTTTCATTGGATACCAACAACCTTGACCCTTTGACCTTGACCTTGTAGATTTCTGTACTTGTGAAAAAACTTTAACCTTGGCCATAACTTTTGAACGGTAAGATATAGGGCTTTCATACTTTATATATGTAATCCTTGTGAGAAGACTCCTTATTGGATACCAAGCACTTTTACCCTTTGACCTTGACCTTTGAGTTTGACCTACTTTTAAAAAGCAAACCTTGACCATAAATTTTAAAGGGTTAAGGCTTGTGCTCTCATACTTTACATATTTAATCCTTGTGACAAGACCTTTCATTTGCTAACAAGAAATATGACCCTTTGTCCTTGACCTTAGAGTTTGACCTACTTCAAAAAAAATTTTAACATTGGCCATAACTTCTGAACGGTTAGGGCTAAGGCTTCCATACTCTACATAAGTATTCTATGTGGCAAGATCTTTCATTGGATACCAATTACCTTGACCCTTTGACCTTGAGCTTGGAGATTTTGCACTGATTGGAAAAACTTTAACATTGGCCTACTTTCAAATTTCACAATTGTTTTCCAGTGAGAATACCCTACTTTTGGTACCATTAAATTTGCATTTAAGAAAAGTTTAATCTTTGCTATGTTGCCATACGGGGACATCAGTGTTTCACAAACACATCTTGTTTCTACATGAAATTGTAGTAATAATAGCTTTTCTTAAAAATGTCAATTTAAGGAACCGGATACGAATTTAAACATATATAATTTACTCGCAATTGTAGATCAAAGATATGCTTTAAGAAATTTTTATTTTTGATAGACAACATGTCTAGAAATTAAAGATATACTGGCCTACTAATCACATAATGATTGCCAATCTTATGATATATACAGGTACAAACAAACTAAGAATAACTTTCTGGAATTTTTTCTCGTTCAAAATCGAAATAGCTGACCAAGTTACGCAAATTTCAAAGTATTCTGAATTTTTATATATGAACAATTTACATTTTAAACAAATATTGTAAAAAAAATTATGTATTCGCAGTCCTACCATTATTTTTTGTTATAGTAAATACTATATGGTAATAAAATCATACCATATTTTTAACTTATCATGCAACACATTTTGGACTGTTTAAGAAAATGTGAGAACAACCCAATCCCTGGAATTTCTGATGAAACCCACAGTCATTCAACAAAAGGACATTGGGTACTACTACAACAAACCAATTCATAACTTTGTGTGGTATAATATTTCAGTCAAGTTGCGGAAGATGAGTGATTGTGACGTAGGAGAGGTTAATAATAAGATGCAATGTCCACATTCCCTAGCCCTTCATCCTAGTATGAACCGGAACAATCAGCTGGTTCAATCGTAATGATATAATGACCAATCACAGTTGTCGTACTATAGTAGTTAAACAGGGTATCGCGGATAACCACATACTTTACATTGTCTGAATTGCAGTTATAAGTCGTGAAGAAACACAGTCTAAATATAGATATACAAGTACTTCATGTATAAACTTGTTTGAGAAATTTGAACCACGCGTTTTTTTTTAAACGAATTCAAATGGATTTATGTTCTGACATGAGATTCTCTCATATTACGAGGAACCCGGATCTGTAAGAAAAATAAATGCTTTCATTTCTAAGAAGAAAAGATGATATCTTATTAAAGTTTATCAGAACCAGGTTGAGGTTGCTCATATATGCATATTAAATGGAACGCAGAAAAAAAATATTTAAGAAGTATATATTTCCTCATTGAAAGAGTCACATTTTTGTTTAAAGGCAAAAAATCGTATGTTGTACTAAAACTGAGACACACTAACACATTTTTTAAGACAGCAATGTACTGTAAACTTATGTTTTGTTTGTTTATGTCAGAATTATATTAGAGTTTTTGACAAATTATTCCTGTTAAAAGTTAAACATATTCGCAGGGTTATTCCTTAAGATCTATTATGATAATATATACATTTACAAAGAAACATTGATATTGATATATTTTTCTTAACTCAGTCTAAATATATATTTATAATAACTTGAAAGAAAGGTATCAAATTAATTTCAGTCAAACCCAAGGCGACTACTTGAAAAAAAAAGAAGATTTGAATTACATCATCCCAAAGTGGGTGAAGAAAACGTATAGAAGAAGAACTTGAAGAAATATTATAAAGTAAAACTATATATTTGTGCAGGTTTAATTAAAAGAAACACCGGAAGTAAAGAGGGAAGCAGGAAGGTCTCCTCAGCTTGGACAAGAACGTTCAAGAGTAGGATATAGGGGAAACTAACCAGGGGAGAGATCCAGTTTTATGATACTTAATAACGAATGGATAAGAGACGAATCTAAGGATCAGGGAACTATGTGTCAGTGTGTTCAAAGAGGAGATATAATTACATGCGTAAAAGTGTATTTATAATATTTAAAAATGATATCTACGAATTCTCGATTAAAATATTATTGTGCTTAGTGTCTAATAGCAATATCTCTATGATTTTTTTTTCTCTTAAGTTTACTTCAGAATGTCTCATTTCTATCAATTAAGCTAACACGTGCTATGGTAAATCTCAAACACTTCTTTAAAATCAATTAATAATCAAACAAATAAAGATTGGAAAAGTGAACTTTATTATAATGTAGATGATAAATAAGCTTAAAAGATACTTCTCTGTGATTCTGAGTTTCTTAAAAACTTTGAGAATATTAACATATATATTTAAAAATTGAGAAGAAGAACTAGATGAGATATGAGATGTGCAATACATTTAAAATAACTGTTAAACCAGAAATATATTCAGCTTGATTTGAATAAACACAAAGAATGCTAAAATGCAGAGAAAATAATAAACGAAATGTACAGCGCTTTTGGAAAAAAAATATGCAATAAAATTTGATATATATATTATTCATGTGTTTATTTTATTTTGAAATGCTGACCTTGATTTTTTATTGAATTTATTCATTTTTCAAATGAAATTTTTCAGATTTTAAAAGAAATATTTTTCCCTTAGAGCCAGAGAACGAATCTATAATTTTCTGCAAAAGAACATTATAGAGCAATGTACAAAGGTAATGAGTACTTGACCTTAACGACAATTACAAATAAGTGATACTTCAGTGGATGACTACAAAAAACTCGACTTCTTTGTTTGAATTGCACATGACTTTTATGTCAATTAGGGCGCACAGGATTTAAAGCATTCCTAATTTGGGGATGACCCGGTGCAATGTGACTACTTTAACTAATAGTAGTGACACGCGTTCACCTACTTACTTGTATTTATATATTTATATTAAAGTTACGGTGTGTAGACTCTACTGATGTTCTTTAATTTTTGTTTTATGACTTATTACTTTTTTGCCTATATTTTTGATCTTTTACATTTAAGTATTTATTTCTTATATAAAATTAGAAGCATATTTTACTTTTAAATTAAATTAAAACTATTATTTGAATTTCAGTATTGTTATCAAACATTTTAATTTATATTTTATCTTGTGTGTGACTGATAATTCCTGAGTTATTGAAATTGATATGTCGATACCCCCCAAAATTAAAATAAAAACATAATCTCCCTTGCACATTGGTAACAGCATTGTTCAGAGCATCTTTCTCATTTGATTATTATTAACATATAATATAGCCAACAAATCCCCCCGCCTGCATTTTCAATTAGTTGAACAAACACTGGCTACATTTTCCCAGTGTGAACATTCTAAAAACATTACGCACACGACGTGTAGGTGCGCGCGTGAGAGTAAAATCGACGTAAAAGTTGCCAAGCTTGCAGACCAAATTAGAGCAGAGAATTTCTGTCAATTTTAGGGTGAAAATATTGGTATGACCTTGCTGTAAAATAACGGTTTCAGATATACATTGACAACAACCGAGAGAGAGAGAAAAATACAAAATAAGATATTCCCAGAAATCACATATGACATTGGCCTCTAAAATTTTAATGGTTTGATGCATTAGTGAATATTTTTGTTTCACTTAGCAATTCAATTGAACCATTGTAATGTACCATTGCTTATTAAATTTCAAAGTTAAAATGCGGAAAACGATGTCTAGACATTTCAACCACGGAAAAAATATGTGACTTATAAAATTAGCATAAAGTGTCATCTGGAAAACCAATGTTGATGCTATTTTTTAAAAAAAAGTTGGTTTTCAACCCCTAATCACTTCCATGGTGAAAAATCGGAAGTCAACTTAGTAATCTTTCAAAATGTCATTTGGCTACTGATTATAGGGTGTAGAAGTTCGTTTATAGAACTACATTATTGTTTGAGTAAAAAAAAGACTCTGAAACTTATCGTAGATCAAGGAACAACCGATACTATTAAAGAAGTAAAGCGGGTTTTCTGTAGAAAAACAATTTTTTTAATCCTCCAAAACACCGAACCCGTCCATTCCCCATTCAAACACTATGTTAAAAATCGAATTCAAAATCCTTAATGCCTCTTGAACTACATGTATAAGACACTCTTAACATATTAATTCTAAAATATGCCTACTGTTTCAAATGTATGAAAGAAATTAGGGAACCATTTTAAAAAAAAAAAAAAGAAAAACGTTTTATTCCCTTTTGCTTTCAGGGTGAAAATTGAATTATATGAATCCTTATTGCACATTTCGTTAGATTCTCAAAATTCAAAACTATCCAAAAAATGAATAGGCTGCTGAGAAAAAAAAAAACACAATAGGAGTTCAGAGACGCAGGTTTTAATTTTATTAGAAGAAACGGCTTCCAAGCGCCTATAGGGTAAAACAGAATTCCCAAAGCTCACTGCAAACCAGGGCCCGAGAAACTGAGAAAAGTTTCCTTCTGAATACGTATCTTAGGTTCTATTTTTCAATCATGTTTAAAAACCTGCAGGTTTGTATAATAATCAAACAGAATCAGAAAGAATTTTGATTTTCAATCTGGAGGCAATTGGGGGTAAAAAAGAGGTTTTTCTACAAAAGAAAATTTGCTTCCATAATGGTTTCCTCTTTTTGCAACAACGAGTTCCTCTTGCCTTGCGAGAGATAACTGCTGGGATCAAGACCATATACTGAAGTCTAATTTTCAAATCATTATAACAGATGAAATAACTTTTAAAATAAAACAGAATTTTCATCACTTGTCTGTTTTGATCATTTTACGAAGCTGCAGGTTTTTAAACATGGTTATAAAAACTTGCAATATTCAAAAGGAAAATTTTGCATGACTTTAGTCCATTCTCAGTTTATGTTATCGGGCCCGAGCGATTTGAACAATAAGCAAATACATATTATTTTTAAATTTGAGTGCTTGAACTTTTGGATCAAATACGTATCGTCCACACACTTGACCTCTATTTGCTAAATGTCCGTGGTATTTTGTGAAGGTTATCAGTGACCACCAGTTCTGAAAGCTTCCATCTCATGAGGAAGTTTGTTTTTGTGTATGAAGAAGAGTTCCTTCCTGTTTTTAATCTCTGATGTCTTATGATGAATGTGTTTTTGTCAAGTCAACATATTTATTTGTTTAAATATTATTTCCTTGTATGACATATTATGCATATATCATCATCGAACTTGTTATGCAAATAAATAGTGAAAAAAAAATCAGTCAATTGACGTAATATGAGAAAGAATTTAGGGAGGTTAAATTCTACAAATATATTATGCATGCGCACAAAGACAAAAAATACTAAAGTCTAGTATATCAAAACATTTCAAGTGTTCTCCAGAGAGGCAATACTTCATTGCCTCTCTACAGAGGTTACAATATTCATTTGTCAACACACAAACCAATAAATGATTTATAAATAAAAGAGTCTTTCAAATCTAAAATATAATTTTTTTTATCATGCGATGTTTCAAGTGCAATGTCAACATAGCATGTGGTTAAAAAAAGAAATGGGACATTTATTTTAAGATTTGGCCAAGGTCTTTGGAAAAGAGTGTCATTAAAAGGAATTATTTATCTAACAGCACTCTACCAAACAGATAATATATTTCATTCTCAGTGTAAAGCTGTCACAGATCTAAGAACTTCAAAGGAAACAATGTTATGGGTTGCGTTGAACAAAGAATTCCTTTTTCCATAGCATATAACTTTCATCAGAATCATCAGAAATTGATTTAGCTAGAGAAATACATAATACCTTAAAAAAATTATAGGCCTCGTTTATTTTATATTAGATTATCATTATATTGTTAGATATGCAATTGAGAAAAATCTCTCTTTCTTTCTCTCTCAGATGTTCATATTTTTTAAAATACATGTAGTTAAAATATTTATTTTTTTTTAAATACAAGTATTCAAAGCTGTTTTTCTTATTATCAATAATATTTCATTGGTGGTTTCTGGCAACATTCATTTCACTTTGAATCGAATTTAAATGGCTTATATAATATCAAACAGGTGATATATTGATATACCTGTGAACTTACGAGTTGTATGAGTTTTCAAGAAAATAATAATACATGTTGTCTAGAAATTATTGTACAATTTACAAGCTTACATCGATAATCTCTCTCTTCTGTCGAGTCTTGCAATCATATATTGAAAACCTTCCAAAATAGGTGAAAAAACAAAATAAGCAGAATTTGTGCAATATCTGTTACGTGAAAAGAAGAAAACACTTGCTGTGGCCTTCAACTCGACATTAGGATATATTGAAGACGTATTGTCAATGAACAATGATGGTAATTTCCATTCTTATGTCGATACTATATATCCTGCTGAGCTTGAGATAAAAGATACCACAAAGTCTGACACATCTGTTTCATATTTGGATATTTTACTTGAAAAAGACGTTAATGGTAATATAACAACCAAGCTCAATGATAAACGTGATGATTTAACTTTTCTATCGTCAACTTCCCTTACTAATGCAGCCAGCTACACACGCAGTTTTTATATCTCAGTTGATTCGATACGGAAGAGCATCCTCAATTTCTAAAACGAGGTAAATTGCTGACAAACAAGTTGATAAAAGAAGAATATCAGCAGTCTCGTTTAAATTCATCATTTCGTAAGTTCTATGGTCGATACAAGGGATCTTGTTAGTAAATACAATTTATCATTGAGTCAAATGCTGACTGACTTTTTTAATGCTAATTGTTAGTACATTATTTACATTTATTCAATGAATTGACGACAGCTTTTCCCCTTATTTTCCGATCATGACAAGGAGCACACGGCGGGTGTGACCGGTTGGCAGGGGATGCTCACTCCTCCATGGCACCTGATCCCACCTCTGATGTTTTGGAGGTCCCAATTTGCTCTGCTCCTATTTTGTTTTGTTTTATG